TATTTCTGTTCACAAAAATGTTCAGAAAGAGGTAACCACAAAGCGATATTTAACTGAAAATACTAGGGAAATGTTTACTCATAATTTTTCATCCACACTTGCCCCTGCTAACATCTCAGTAAATGAGCTAGTAGATCATTTTAATTCAAAAATTAAAAATGTTATAGATACCATTGCTCCAACTAAGGTAAAGGAAGTGATTGGCAAGAAAATATCTCCATGGAGAAAGGCCATGACCGTGAGAACAGAAAAAAGAGAGTGTCGAAAAGCTGAACGTAGGTGGCGAAAAACAAATCTCCAGGTTCACTTTGAAATCTATAAAGAGAGACTTGGCCTTTATAATTTGGAATTGAAAAACGCACGACAGTCTTTCTTCTCTGACATCATTACCAAAAACAAAAACAACGCACGTGCCTTGTTTGCTACCGTCGACAGACTAACTAAACCCCCAGTGTCAGTAGCATCTGAATTTCTATCCACCAGGGCATGCAATGATTTTGCCTCCTTCTTCACTGACAAAATTCAGAAAATTAGACAAGCAGTCAGTGCCTCTGCATCAGGTACATCAAATGTGTTGTCCCTGTGTCCACCTAATATCAATTCAAACACCATGACACAATTCCATCAGATTATTGATAAAAACTTAGAGGACATTATTCAACTTCTGAAATCCTCCTCCTGCTGCCTTGATATTATTCCAACAGGATTTTTCAAAGATGTTTTTCATTGCATGGCCTCAGATCTACTTCATATAGTAAACACATCTCTTCACTCAGGTATTCTTCCACAGGCACTGAAAACTGCAGTCATTAAACCGCTCTTAAAAAAGAATAATCTAGATGCCTCAGTAATGAACAATTACAGGCCAATATCAAACCTGCCATTTCTAGGTAAAATCATTGAAAAAGTTGTATTTCAACAGTTGAGTAACTTCTTGCATTTAAATAACTGTTTGGATGTGTTCCAGTCAGGATTTCGTCCAAACCACAGCACTGAGACTGCTCTTGTAAAGGTCTTCAATGACATCCACTTAAACACAGACAGTGGCAGAACTTCAGTGTTAGTATTATTAGATCTCAGTGCTGCGTTTGACACTGTTGACCACAACATATTACTAGACCGACTAGAAAACTGGGTGGGACTTTCGGAAACAGTTCTAAATTGGTTTGAGTCCTACTTAAAGGACAGAAAAAACTTTGTTTCTATAGGTAAATACACATCTGAGTTGACAAATATGACATGTGGGGTACCTCAAGGCTCCATCTTGGGGCCTCTTCTCTTTAACATCTACATGCTACCACTGGCTCAGATAATGAAAAACAACAAAATAAGTTACCATAGCTATGCGGATGACACACAAATTTACGTAACAATTTCACCAGGAGACTATGCTCCAATTCAAACACTGAGTAAGTGCATTGAACAAATCAATGACTGGATGTGTCAGAACTTTCTCCAATTAAACATAGATAAAACTGAGGTAATGGTTTTTGGAGCCAAGGCAGAACGTATAAAAGTTAGCGCTGAGCTTCAGTCTGCAATGTTCAAAACTACAGATAAAGCCAGAAATCTAGGTGTAGTCATGGACTCTGACCTGAGTTTCAACAGTCACATTAAAACAGTTACTAAATCAGCCTACTATCACCTAAAGAACATATCTAGGATTAAAAGACTAATGTCACAGCAGGATTTGGAAAAACTTGTCCATGCTTTTATCTTCAGTAGACTGGACTACTGTAATGGTGTCTTTACAGGTCTCACTAAAAAATCTATTAGAAAGCTGCAGCTAATTCAGAACGCCGCTGCTCGAGTCCTCACTAACACTAAGAAAGTGGATCACATCACTCCTGTTCTGAAGTCCTTACACTGGCTTCCTGTGTGTCAAAGAATAGATTTCAAAATACTGCTGCTCGTTTATAAAGCACTGAATGGTTTTAGGCCCAAAATACATGTCTGACCTACTGCTAAATTATGAACCATCCAGAACTCTCAGGTCTTCAGGGACTGGTCAGCTTTCTGTCCCCAGAGTCAGAACTAAACATGGAGAAGCAGCATTCAGTTATTATGCTCCAAATATCTGGAACAAACTCCCAGAAACCTGCAGGTCCGCTGCAACTCTTACTACTTTTAAATCCAGGCTGAAGACTTTTCTTTTTGCCGCTGCTTTTAATTGAACTATTCACATCTTAAACTGCACTGTAACTTTTATCCATGTATTTTTTCTTTTAAAGGGCCCATGTCATGGCCATTTCCACTGATCATAATTACATTGTTGAGGTATACTAAAATAGATTTATACTGTGCAATTTTCCAAACTCACATTGGTTTCGCATACAGCATCTCTGTCAAGCATGTCTATTCAGCAGTATTCACTTTCTCCACTAAACGACTCGTTGGAGCTCTTGCCCCCCCCTCCCTGTGAGCCTAGTGTGCTCCGATTGGTCAGCTCGGCCACTCGTTCTGATTAGTCAACCACCAGAGAGGCTGCACCCATGTCAGTGCTTTTCCCGGCTGCTCTCAGCGTAACATCAGTCTTATCATGGCGTCGGTACAGCGGTATATTTTATATACATATATATTTTTAACTGTTGTTATAGAAGAGTGTGACGGCCCCAGGGCCTTTGTCTTACGATGGGGTGGAGCTGAAGCGGCTAATCAGCACGATCACGGACACCTCCGGACACTACGGCCCCAGTCTCTCTCCAAAGCGGCTGCAGGAAGACTAACTCTGCGATCCTCTCAATCACCTGTCTCTGCATTTACCACAATAAATGTGCCGTGGTTTTGTAAACTCGTGTATGTCTCCTTGTCTTTCCGTTGTGGCCTACGAGCTACTCTCATAACAAAGAGTAAGTTATTTTTACCCGTTATAAACTACTACTGTTTGATGAGAAATCAAATCATGGTTTGCTATATATGAATTCAGGGAAGAAAGGATAGGCCTACTAAGTATTTCCATTAAACTTTATTTTTAGAAATGTACAAAATGAACATAAATATACATATATACACGGTATATCATCCATTCCTCCTCCTCTTGCCTGCGCACAGCCGGTGCGGTGCGGTGCCTTTTAGCACGAGGCCTTAGTAGTAGTAGAATCCCTTCCCCGTCATGGATTGTCCGCCAGGATCTGGCTGGACGAAATCAAATGCAAATCACAAAATATTAGAGAAACTTAGTTGTTTTAGATTCGTTAGTAGTAGTTGTGTAATGAACAGCTTGCCTGCTAATATGCTAACCTAGCTTTGTTTACCTTGGTAGCTAACACGATATGAACGTTAGCTTGGAGGAAAGGCAACTATAATGCAGTGTAATAAAACTATGAACAAAAGCTAGTGGTTCATATTAGGCTAGCAATAACGTGTTTATAATTGCAATCGTATACGGGTATTCTGCTACCATACAATGTAACTTGCATGAATACATTGTTTTGCGCTAGCATACAGCTAGCCTCGTTAGCTACATGCAGTATATGTACGGTCACAATGTACGGTAAACCGGAGTATACTGTATGAGTATTCCGTGTGTGTGACTGCAGACATTCTCCTGCCATGACAAACATGTAAGGCCATCTGCTGACATTGTAGTTGATATATTTAAACGCTAGCAACGTAGCATCACAAAAATGTTTTTCTGACCAAAACTAGTGCTCCGTGTGTTAGATCGCTACGCCAGCTATAATGTAATTACGTTTCGCGACTGACCGGCAAATCACCCGCAGTATACTGTCAATAGGTATTTTGTGTGTGAATGCAGACATTCTCCTGCTATGAGATACATGTATGCAAGGCCATCTGCTGATATTAGAGTTGATATATGGAAACTCTAGCAACTTAGTTAGCACAGTTAGCACTGTGTCAATGGCTTAGCAGTCCAACACAGTTTACACATTTAAACAGTCTTGTTTGATAAATACACAAATAACAATGCAAACTTACAGGTTGTATACCCAGATCTTCCCCTGCTCCAAACGGTCCAAACAAGCTGTGCATATCCGGCCTCAAACTGGGCAATGTTTTGGAAGCTTTCGTCTGTGAAATGCCGGTTCTTCGAACCTCTGGAGGAGGAACACGCCGCTGCTGGTGTGGCCATAGCTCTTCGGGATTGGTCCATTTCGTTCCGGGTACCGCATGACATCATGCGGTACCCGGAAGAATCAAATGGGCAGTGACGTATCTCCAACGAGGCGTTTTGGGGAGGTATTTTCTGTGTTAGAGTTTTACTCGCTACAGGGTGTACTTTGAGGGTTTTGACTCTGCACACCGTTTACATGCATAAAAACCTTCATAACACACAAGGGGACGGGTAATAACCGGAAAAGCATGACATGGGAGCTTTAATGTTTATTTTATTTTTTATTTTTAATGACTGATTTTAAATGCCATTTTCTTAATGTCTTCCATTTTTGTAAAGCACTTTGAATTGCCTTGTGTTGAAAGGTGCTATATAAATAAACTTGCCTTGCCTTTAAGTAAAAGTGCAAAAGTATTAGCATCAAAATATACTAAAGTAGTCATTATGCAGATTGGTCCATTTCAGAATAATATATACGATATGTTTTATAATTATTGATCATTAAAGTGTTATCAAAGCTGGTAAAGGTGCAGCTAGTTTTTGTATACTGCACCAACGTTTGGCCACTACGATCGTTTGCATCCACATCCGGCGCACTTCCTGGAGACTTGGAATGAACGAGTCCCGCCTCCAACGCCGTGTCCAGTTTCCTTTATACATCCATGGGCTGATCCACTCCAAAACCAGCCTTTTGGGTCTTTGTTATGATCATTTCAGTCGGACCGACGCGGCCAAAAACAAGCTTTTCATGCAAATTCTACACCGTCGCTTTTCTGAAAAGTTGAAATATTAATAACTCAAAAGAGGCGAAGCACTCAGAAAATCGACTATGTACGCTGGAGATCAGAAAAAGGAGTTATGTGGAGACGGGCCCTTACGCTGTTCTTGTGAAAAATGATTACTTATCTAAAAGACAAAGTCAGAATGCAAATCATTATTCTTTTTATTATTAATGTTAACAGCACACAAAAAAGGAACACAGACGAAAGGTTTTAACAAATAAATGTACAAAGAAATCCCTGTTCTGTAAAACCAGAAGTGAAATCTGTTAAATAACCTGATGCCATGAAACATTTTGTCAAATCAAATCTTTTAGGTTTATCACAACATACTGGTTGTGGCGAGAACATTTTAAACTTGATCTTTAAAAGCCATATTAAGTCTCTGATGCTCCAGGATGACTTCAGGGCATGCAGCTGTTCCAGTGTCGCTCGTTGGGAAGCATCTGGCCGAGCCGCAGGCAGCAGCTGATGGTCGGCTCGTAGAACACGCAGTCCGGTTCCTCCATCATCGCCTTCGTCTCACTGCTCGTCTTCACAGCGCGGGCGAACAGCGAAGGTTTAGCAGCTCTCACCAGAGTCTTCTTCATCACACAGCCGGAGTCTGTGAGCGCCTGGAGAGCAGACAGTGAACAAGGAGAAGCTGTCACTTGGTGCCGTTGTTGAGAAAATGTAAGTTACTTAATAGCCAAACAGTTTAACAAACATACAAGTAAGTAAAGAAGGATTGTGTGTGCTGTAAATTATAGTACTTAGAATAAATACAAAAAGGATTACGCATGGGACGACACCCCAATTATCCCAGCCGAAATAATTGCTATTCATGATAACAAATATAACTAAAACTCCTAAATCGTTAATGCACCAAAACATCCTGGACCTTTGATTTTGTAAAAGATATACTGTAATTTCATCAAAAGAAAAGGGAACACATATTTTATTCCGATAATGGCAATTCACCACGATCTTAACATTTCTTCTGACAAAATGTAATAAAAGCATTTTTCTGAAATGAGTAAAATACTTTATTGATCTGGAAGGAAAATGTGTCTTTGGCTCCAAGCTGCTGAAAACACCAGTTAAACACTAGGACAGAAGTTCTGTACGATACGATAATACTTAATTGTCAGATTGAGTCTGACATTTTTCTTGCATGACAGCAGCTCCATTTGCAACATCAACAAGAGCTAATATTATTGATAAGATACAAGGGAACAAACATTTAACAAAACATAACACTCACTGAAGACTGTTAAACACCTGCACTTTTGAAAGAACATCCATCTGTTTGCAACTTATATATATATCAATATTCCAATTACTTGTATATAGACTATTCTGCACTATTTCTACTATATTGTATTTTATTTTATTTACTTGCACTTTTATCTGTTTTATTGTTGTTGCACTGTTGGATGAGCCTGTGACCTCAGATTTTCATTGTCATAACTACACTGTAGCTATGTACACAAAGCCTTGAAACCTTGAAAAGTCCCCCTATCGTTTATGACATTTGACCTGGGATTTAGCTCTGCATTTGATTTGAGGATTGACTGGTGCTCAAAAGCATGCTTCTATGAATGTCACTATGAACTTTACTCCAGGTGTGACTAAAGTATTTGACTTGTAACAGAGTATTCCTACACTCTTGTTCTTGTTCTTTTATTAAAGTACAATCTCTCAGTACTTCTTCCCCCTGTGCCTGAGAGTGTTATTGATGTGTGAGAGTGTGTGTGAGTGTGTGAGAGTGTGTGAGAGTGTGTTATTGATGTGTGAGAGTGTGTGTGAGTGTGTGAGAGTGTGTTATGATGGTGAGGAGTGGTGTGAGTGTGTTTGTTTTTTGGTGTGTGGTGAGAGAGTGTGTTGAGAGGTGTGTGAGAGTGTGAGAGTGTGTGTGAGTGTGTGTGAGTGTGTGAGAGTGTGTGAGAGTGTGTGAGAGTGTGTGAGAGTGTGTGTGAGTGTGTGAGTGTGTGTGTGTGTGTTATTGATGTGTGAGAGAGTGTGTGAGAGTGTGTGTGAGTGTGTGTGTGTGTTATTGATGTGTGAGAGAGTGTGTGAGAGTGTGTGTGTGAGTGTGAGAGTGTGTGAGAGTGTTATTGATGTGTGAGAGTGTGTGAGAGTGAGTGTGTGTGTGTGTGTGTGTGTGTGTGTGTGTGTGTGTGTGTTATTGATGTGTGAGAGTGTGTGTGTGTGTGTGTGTTATTGATGTGTGTGTGTTATTGATGTGTGTGTGTGTGTGTGTGTGTGTGTGTGTGTGTGTGTGTGTGTGTGTGTGTGTGTGTGTGTGTGTGTGTGTGTGTGTGTGTGTGTGTGTGTGTGTGTGTGTGTGTGTGTGTGTACCTGCAGCAGGTCGAGCACGGCCATGGGCTGCAGCACGTCTTTGTAGTGCTCCACCAGCGCCTGCTGCGTGAGTCCGGGTCGGTACATCACGTGGTACAGGATGGCCTCCAGCATGCCCTTACACACCTGCCGGTTCAGGTTCCCGTCCACCATGCGCCACGGCCGGCTGATGAAGCTCACGTTTTCCCTGTGAGGACGAGACGGACATTTAAAGACATGACACACAGCACGTGTTTTTACCTAAAACCAAATACTGCTACTTGATTTTTTTAACCGTAGATGTGAACTTGTGCAATATTATTATTATTATTAATAATGTGCTATGATAACGTGCAATTACGTATCTGCCACTACTTTTTTTTGCACTACTAAATACTGGTAATATTTACATTAATTATGTGACCGTCTATGTTTCCTGTAGATATTGAATTGCTCTTTAATTGTTAGTGTACTGTTTTATTATTATGCTGCTGTGTTTATTGTATTTTTGTTACTCTGGCACAACAATTTCCTTCGGGATAAATAAAGTCTTATCTTATCTTATTATATTTTATTATCGCGCTAGCCTTTTTATTTTAAATGTTAGACTTCTCATTTTATTTTGCCTTTTAAAATAAAGTTAAAAATAAAAGGGAAATACATAAGTCAATAAGTCATAGTTTTACCTAAAACCAAATACTGCTACTTGTTTACTTATATGAAATTATAATATTTTATTACCGTGTTTTATTTTAAATGTTAGTCTTCTCATTTTTCTTTGCCTTTTATCTGCACTGCAATTTCGGCTTTAAACATTAAAGGTCACCTATCATGCTATTTTTAGGCAATAGCATAGGTCTCAGATATATAAAATATATAAAAAACATGTCTATGAAGTGTTTTGCTCAAAATACCAAACAGATCACCCATTCTAGCCATGCCTCATATCCCTCTATTTCGCTTCCTGTTTCAAAAGTGCTGATTTGGGGTATAAAGCTCAAAAATGTGATAAAACATAAAAAAGGAGGGGTCTGAGCTCATGCGGGACCCGGCAGCTACTGTCTAAACTAAATACTGCCGTGATGAAACGCCATATCATGGATTATCAAGGATTATTTCTGAAACAGTATGGAGCTCAAAGGCTTTCTCTCTTGCCGGTTATACCACAAGGTGAGTTCCTTTTTATTTCCTGCTTCTTCACACACTGGGGCCCTTTCTCATGTCATCAAATGTCCCTCCTCGACTCCTCGACTCCTCGGTCCTCCGGTAGTGACCCGGAAATGAATTTCAGCGCGCCATGTTGAAGGACATCTCATTTCTCGAAATGCACATCGAGGACCGAGCATCGAGCGTCGAGGAGGCTCTCTGGAGGAGCTATAACCGAGGATACACTGATGGGTCCTCCACGGTCCTCCACGGCTCCTTCGTGGATGCATTTCCGGCAACAGTGATGTTTCAAAGAGTCGAGACCTATGGTCGAGACGCACGGCCGGACTTATCTCAGCCAATGACAGCTCTGCATGCATCCCCTGGATATTATTTTATTAACTGCTTTCATCGCGACGCGATGTTTACAGTGAGAACAGCTGTGAGGTCCGTGCAGAAAGCAGAGCAGTGTGTATAATATATATCATATCACTCAGTATAACAGGCCTACTCTCTTTATTTGCTTTAGTTTAGTAGATATCTACAAACAAAGTCGATATTTTTCGAAAACCATTTAGTGCTTCACGTAATAAAATACACAACGGCTGTAGCCTGATTATATGCTTTAGGAGCTGTAGGTGCGTGGTGTAGGTGTGTGTGGTGCAGTGTGTGCGTAGATGCAGCGGACAGACAGGTCTCAGTTGGTTTGGTGTCCTCTGCTTACTTGTAATACTTGTCAATAAAACTTTTGGCCCGTCATTTATTTCCCTCATTGTAGCGACCAGAGGGGGGGGGGGGGGATATATCCAGTCTCTGATAGTGTTACGTTATTATGAGAGTGCTCTGTTTGATTCTGAAATTGTATATATTTATATAAATATATACATATATGTGTGTGTGTGTGTGTGTGTGTGTGTGTGTGTGTGTGTGTGTGTGTGTGTGTGTGTGTATGTCCGCATCTGTAGCCTGTTATTGTCTCATTATACCGCACTGTGAATGAATTAAAAGTAAATATATAAGTGGTCATGAACACATCTGTCCATCAGACAGAGGGCTGCTGTGCCTCCTGTCATCATTAATGGACGTCTCTTTAAAATGACCGCTCAGAGGAGAGGAGTTCTCATTTCTCTAACCGCCTGCTGCTTCCCCTCCTCTCTCCTCGGTTCCCCTCCTCGGCTCCTCCGCTCGCATCTCCTGTGGGCGGGACTAAGTCTCGAGGATAGGAGTCGAGGAGGGGAGTCGAGGAGGGACATTTGATGACATGAGAACGGGCCATGCTCTCTCCAGTACAGGTTAGCTCTGAGTGTTAGCGATGCTAATGTAAACACCGACCATATTACGTCCAAAACACTCGGGCATTGTTTCTGATAGCAACGTTTCTGATTGGCCCGTGGGTGTAAAGCCAGCCTACATTTCCGATATTACGTCATATCGGACGCAAATCTGGATCAGCTCCGTTGTACCCCCGTTTTTAGAGATTTGGGTACGGAGGAAAAGAGAGAGGGTTTTATTTTCTGACGCTGCGTGAGTTCCCTGACACACCGGGGACACATATTGATGTATAAAAGACATCAAATAGTGCATTTTGCATGATAGGTCCCCTTTAAAATAGATTTGCTTTATTGATCCAAAATGTCTAAATTGTTTTATCAAAGCATCGTGTTAACAAGGCATTGCACATGAGTTAAAAATAGACCAAAAAATAACCAGTATATATTCATATCGGTAAATATATACATATAGAAAACTGTAAAGAATAAGGATATTCAAAATGGAATAAATGATCGGAAAGAATCAGTTTTTAAAGAAATTAAGATGTTATTTTAATGTTAAATCAGTTTAGGCTCCGTTAATACTCTGCATGTGAAGGTCAGTATTATTTGTGGTGTAAACATGCCTATTTTAATAAATCTGTTATTTGATTTTATTAACTGTGATTGTGATATAATCAATCAATCAATCAATCAATCAATGTTTATTTATATAGCCCAATATCACAAATGTTACATTTGTCTCAGTGGACTTCACAGTTCGTACAGAATATCAGTATGACAATACGACACCCTCTGTCCTTAGACCCTCACATCGTACAAGGAAACACTTCAGAAGAAACCCCACAGTTTAAAGGGGAACATGGGAGAAACTTCAGGGAGAGCAACAGAGGAGGGATCCCTCTCCCAGGACGGACAGACGTGCAATAGATGCCGTGTGTAAATTGAAAAGATAATACATTCATATAATGAATGTGATCTTATTGTTGTTTCTTTCTGTTTTGTTGAGATGATCAAGAATGTGATGTTTTAATACCTTTCATATGGACCCAAGGGAAACATATTTTTCATTAAGCTAATTACTAGAGTTGATGCTAAATAAAGTTAAAAATAAAAGGGAAATACAATTCCATGAGATCAGAAGTCATAGTTCCCACTTACCCCTTCTCCACACCAGTCGGGCTTGTTGATGGAGAGGATTCCTCTTCCTCCATGCTCTCTGCTCCATTATCTTTCTTTCCCTCCTGTTTCTCCTCACTCTCCAGCTCCTCCCTTCCTTTCTCCTGCTCGCTTTCCTCTTCAGACAGCACCACCTCTCCTCCCTCCTCTTCCAAGTTCACCATCTTCTCCCCACTTCCCTCCTTCTTCCTCTCCAGCTCTTCTTCCTCAGTTGGTTTCTCTCCCGTTGCGTCACTCGATGATCCCGCTACATCTTCGCCTCCTTGTTTTTCCAAAGCTGATCTTTTCGCCGGCGGTTCCTCTTCCTCCTCTCGGACCTCCCGCCTGGTTCTCATGCGCATGAAGGGGATGTTGTGGTTCTTCTCCAGAAAGGGGATTCTGTTGGAGTTGAGGCGGGACTCGTGCCATTTCTTGGAGGGCTGCTTCACGGTCAGCAGCCAGGGCTCAGAGTGCTGCATCAGCACCCAGCGAGGACCCAGACCCCCCACCTTCACCACCTGGCCCTCCTCCTGCAGCTCCTGGAGAGAGAAGGGAATAAAAAGATCAGGGAAAACACTGAGGAAAGCTCGTCACAGAATTGTATTAGATTGGAAATCCCCTAAGCCCCCATTTGACTCTATTTGGCTTAAAGACCTGGTATTCTTTCTGAAACTTGAGAAGGTAAAATATACTCCAACGGTGCGTCCACACGGTTCCGTCGCGTTGAAGCTTGCCGGTGGGCGTGTCTGGCGTGCAACCAACAACCAATCACATTAATCTCCCGCCCCGGACACACAAGCACGCGGTTTGATTGGCTTGAGCTTGTACTGGCATATGATTTGATTGTCTGGCGCTTCTGCCGACGCTTGAAAAGTTGAACTTTTCTCAACTTTCAGCGCGAGCAACGGAGGCGAAGCGACGGAACCACAATGCAGTTCGGCAAAACTTGACGTCACCCCATTCAAAGTGAATGAACAGTTCACTTTGGAATATGGAATATGGATGAAGATCATTGTCTCAATTGTGACCTTGTATGATTGCGCCTGTTCTTCAATAAAAAAACACTGAGGAAGACGAAACAAGGAAACTGATTGTTACCAAACAACATAGATGTTTTATTTATTAGTTGAATAATTATGTTATATATATATATAATAAACATTTTTATTTTTTTCTTAAATTTAAGGCGAAATAAAATTTCTTATTTATTTATACTTTATGTAAAACAATGATTTGTTGTTTTGAACAATCTAAATCAAATGTAATTTTCTTTCTTGATTTTTCACAATTTGGGGGCAGTCTGGGCTCATTTGCACCCTTTAAGTTTATTTATTTATTTGTATTATATATATACTATTTTGTATGTCCTTTCCCACTATGATTAGGTATGTCATTAAGTATGGTATTCCTGTCATGAAATGTTTTTTCTTTATTATCTGTTTGTCTTCTATGCTGAAAAAGGGAAGCATGATTTCCACCCCAAAGAAGTCTGTACTATTGCTTACACTAAAAATATTTGAAACGATTTTTCACAACTGTTTTGACTTAATTGAATAATTGTGCAGCCCTACTATCAAATATACTGTGTGTGTTTGTCCGTGTTACCTTCAGGTACCGCTGCAGGCTCCTGCTTCGGCCCCCCTGCGCCTCCTGCAGCTGAGCGTGAGTCTCGTAGAGGTCCTGGACCCCCAGACCGCTCTCCCTCGCTGCCTCCAGACTCTTCCTGAGCTGAGCACACGCTTTAACGTCCTGAGGAGTGTAACCTCTCTGCTCAACCAAACGCCTCTCACACTCCTTCACACTGTGGGGAGAGGAGGAGGAGGAGCGGGTGGAGGAGGAAGAGCGGGTGGAGGAGGAGAGGACGGAGGGCAGCAGGGATGGACCGCATTTAGACAAGTCCAGCGGTGGAGAGTCTAAAAATGAAGACAAAGGAAATAAATAATTACTTTTTTATAAATGAAGCTGTGGGTGTTTCTCAATGTCGAGGAAGGATGCTCCAGAGCCACTATTTCAAGGATGCTACGTCATCGAGTCCCACCGAAGGACTGTTCCAATGTCCAGGCTCCTCGGAATTCTACCGAGCCCGGTGTCCTACGTAGCGAGACATTTCGAGGCTGCACATGTGTATCCTCCGCGGTCTTAAAATCCCCACAATGCTTTGCCTCGCATATGACGCACACCTGTTAGCCTGTTCCACCAGTCTTCGTTTTCCGAGGCTAGGAAGGATTCTTGCCTCGCTTCAAAAGGAAGTGACTCGGAAGACATGTCCTACCAAGGAAGCATCCTCGACATTGAGAAACACCCACTGTGTTTGTACGTGTATTACTTGGTAGTGGTGCTGGAAAAAATAAGTAATTGAGATCATTTTGAATGATATTGCATTGCGTTATGATTTGTGTCGAGACATTATTCACAATATCTTTTGAAAGAAATAAGAAATAAATATAAATAAAAAAATAAAAAAAAATAAAAAAAATTGTTTGATCATTTCCTAATTATTATTCAAATTAGCTATTAAAAAACAAATACAAAATAATAAAATAAAAGTAAATAAATTACATAATAGATCATTTTAGCATTCCTGATTTTTTTGTTATGTCTGTAGAAAAGTTAGTAGGTTGGGACTTCTCTGCAACACCACGATACTTCATTCACATATTTTACTATGACAGAATACTGTGTGCATGCTGCATTTTGAATATTGCACTGGTCCATATTGAGATGTAGATAAAGTGTTGATTGATTGAGCAGCTCTGTTACATTACAGTGGATACTCACTCTCTGTATTGAACAGCTGGTGAGCAGGAGTGCTGCGCAGCTGCAGCTTCATGATGCACGACTCCACCACGATGTTATCCAGAGTGTTCAGGTTACGGATTTTCACTACAAACAAAACAAATTCATATTTTTACAAGGGCAGAATGTTACTTTTATTTTATTTATTGATTCATCTTTATTTAAGTTTTTCTGAATAATTAAATAGATGTAATATATAGATTAGACACTGACAACCATATAAAACAGAGAAATACAAAAATAACTTGACATTTAAAGGGGACCTATCATGCAAAATGCACTTTTGTACGTCTTTTATACATGAATATGTGTCCCCGGTGTTCCAGGGAACTCACCAAGTGTCAGAAAACACAACCCTCTCTATTTTCCTCCATACCCAAATCTCTAAAAAAGGGGCTGCAACGGATCTGATAAAAACTGATCCAGATTTGAACACTGTCCTGACGTCAGGACGGTGGCGCTACGGCTATTGGGCCAACTCCACCAATCAGGAGGAGACAGCCACGGCCAGTGCCGTTCGAAAGCGCTGGAGACGCTGTAGTACATATGCCAGGCCTGTAGGTGGTGCTGTTCTCACAGAATCAGCCCTTGCAAAAACAGAGCTAGAAAATGTCAAATTGAGCGAAATGAGGCATGGCTAAAATGCATGATCGGTTTGGTATTTTGAAAAAAAAAAAAGTATAAATATGCCTTATATAGGTATGGTCCTACACTATATTATTATAATATAGCATGATAGGTCCACTTTAAGTTGATAAAACAAGAGATTGTTTGACATTCTTTCTTGATAAATCAAAGTGGACATTAAAACATTTTCACTTCTCATTTGAGCTTTGAATATATATATACATAAAAGAGAGAATTTGTCTGTAAATAAAAACCGTATTTTTTACTTTTCTATCCAAGTCAAATTTACCGAATTAAATTACAAAGGAATAGGGATTCTCTTTTTTAATAAGTGTCTAATATCTCTTAAAACGTCATTAGATATGGACCTTTTGAGAAAATATAAACCAAAGCTTCTGTGCCTTTACCAAAGATGTTTATTTTACCCTCTTTAATCCGGTGCAAAGCGATTCAAATGAAGTATCTAAAATAATAACTGACTTCCAATCCTGCAGAGACTAAGGACACAAATACACCCAAAAGCAGAAAACACATATCTAAGAAGAAAGTGAAAAAATAAAAACTCTACCTATGCCAGGAAAGAAGTATCCACGCATCATCAGGTAGTTGGTGTGAGACGCCTGATGTGACTTCACCTCCAGTTTCTTCTTCCCCTCACAATCCTCACCTTCATCATCATCTTCGTCCTCTTCTTCCAGCGCCACCAAACTGGAAAAAAAAAGTACCTCAACTTTATTGACAGCATTTCCACAACTGTCACTTTATATTGTCTTATATATTCTTATATATTTAATTGTCCAGATTATGAAATATCTTAGATGCCAAAGACAAAAAGGGAACTTTACATTTTTGGTGCCAAATAATTTCAGTATCTTTAGCGGATATTATATTATATTATATTTATTTATTGATAGGTTAGGATCTTATAAGTGTACAATACATCTTTCAGTTTTTTTAACATACACTAAATCGACGTTTTTGTATGCATATTATTTATGAGAATGACATATTTCTTTGAACAATGAGAGTGCCTACTCCTTTATGGAAATGCATTAGTTGTTTACATTGTTTGCATACTGTCATATACAGTATATATTACACGTTTTTTAAATATATTTTCTTTAATTGCTTCCCACATAACCCTGTACAATCTCCTGTAAACTTAACACAATACAATTAATGTTTGCACACGGATTATTCCTCACCTCTTGACCACGTCGTTGTCCACCAGGTTGCTGTCCACCACCACCACCTGTTTGGGGATGGACATGAAGACACTCAGCAGTCCCAGAGACATCAGGCTGAGGCAGACTCCACTCGCTCCCCCCGGGGACTCCATGCAGAACTGCAGCATGTCCGACACATCTGGAGGCTCCTCTGGAGTTATAGGAGGAGCAGCAACATCTGGAGGCTCCTCTGGAGTTATCTGAGGAGCAGCAACATCTGGAGACTCCTCTGAAGTTATCTGAGGAGTAGCAACATCTGGAGACTCCTCTGAAGTTATCTGAGGAGCAGCAACATCTGGAGACTCCTCTGAAGTTATCTGAGGAGTAGCAACATCTGGAGACTCCTCTGAAGTTATCTGAGGAGTAGCAACATCTGGAGACTCCTCTGAAGTTATCTGAGGAGTAGCAACATCTGGAGACTCCTCTGAAGTTATCTGAGGAGCAGCAACATCTGGAGACTTCTCTGAAGTTATCGGAGGAGCAGACACATCTGGAGACTTCTCTGAAGTTATCTGAGGAGCAGCAACATCTGGAGACTTCTCTGAAGTTATTGGAGGAGCAGCAACATCTGGAGACTCCTCTGGAGTTATCGGAGGAGCAGCAACATCTGGAGACTTCTCTGAAGTTATCGGAGGAGCAGCAACATCTGGAGACTTCTCTGAAGTTATCGGAGGAGCAGCAACATCTGGAGACTTCTCTGAAGTTATCTGAGGAGCAGCAACATCTGGAGACTTCTCTGAAGTTATCTGAGGAGCAGACACATCTGGAGACTTCTCTGAAGTTATCTGAGGAGCAGACACATCTGGAGACTCCTCTGAAGTTATCTGAGGAGCAGACACATCTGGAGACTCCTCTGAAGTTATCTGAGGAGCAGCAACATCTGGAGACTCCTCTGAAGTTATCTGAGGAGTAGCAACATCTGGAGACTCCTCTGAAGTTATCTGAGGAGCAGCAACATCTGGAGACTTCTCTGAAGTTATTGGAGGAGCAGCAACATCTGGAGACTCCTCTGGAGTTATCTGAGGAGCAGCAACATCTGGAGACTTCTCTGAAGTTATCGGAGGAGCAGACACATCTGGAGACTTCTCTGAAGTTATCTGAGGAGCAGCAACATCTGGAGACTTCTCTGAAGTTATTGGAGGAGCAGCAACATCTGGAGACTCCTCTGGAGTTATCGGAGGAGCAGCAACATCTGGAGACTTCTCTGAAGTTATCGGAGGAGCAGCAACATCTGGAGACTTTGAAGTTATCTGAGGAGCAGCAACATCTGGAGACTTCTCTGAAGTTATTGGAGGAGCAGCAACATCTGGAGACTCCTCTGGAGTTATTGGAGGAGCAGCAACATCTGGAGACTCCTCTGGAGTTATCAGAGGAGCAGCAACATCTGGAGACTCCTCTGGAGTTATCGGAGGAGCAGCAACATCTGGAGACTTCTCTGAAGTTATCGGAGGAGCAGCAACATCTGGAGACTTTGAAGTTATCTGAGGAGCAGCAACATCTGGAGACTTCTCTGAAGTTATTGGAGGATCAGCAACATCTGGAGACTTCTCTGAAGTTATTGGAGGAGCAGCAACATCTGGAGACTCCTCTGGAGTTATCGGAGGAGCAGCAACATCTGGAGACTTCTCTGAAGTTATCGGAGGAGCAGCAACATCTGGAGACTTCTCTGAAGTTATCGGAGGAGCAGCAACATCTGGAGACTTCTCTGAAGTTATCGGAGGAGCAGCAACATCTGGAGACTTTGAAGTTATCTGAGGAGCAGCAACATCTGGAGACTTCTCTGAAGTTATCTGAGGAGCCGACACATCTGGAGACTTCTCTGAAGTTATCTGAGGAGCAGACACATCTGGAGACTCCTCTGAAGTTATCTGAGGAGCAGACACATCTGGAGACTCATCTGAAGTTATCTGAGGAGCAGCAACATCTGGAGACTCCTCTCTGGGTGGAGGATTGTCCGTCTGCTCGCTGCTGGAGGGATCTTCAGTAGAATCAGCTGTGAGCGAGTCTTCCTGGTTCTTCTGTTCCTCTGCTTTGTTTTTCTCCTCAGTTTTCTCCTCGTTCACCTCCATTAACTCCTCTTCTCCTTCCGTTTTACTTTGGTCCTTCTCTCCCTCCTTTGTAGAGTCACTGGGTTCCTTCTCTGGTTCCTTCTCTGGTTCCTTCTCTGGTCCTTCTTCCTCCCGTTTGTTTTGTTTTTTCTTCTTCTCCGATGCTGCTCTTCTCTCCGTTACCACGTCTCCGCTCTCCGACCTGTTCTCCGGCTCATTGTAGAACGCAGTGACGGGTTTGTCGTCGGACGTCCCGTTGTTGATGAGACTCCTCAGGAAGCGGAAGGAGTCGGTGCACAACGAGTTAGGGAAACGCCACGAGAAACACCTGGGAGGAGGAAGAGAGGAATGGTCAAAAACGTATGAATATTCACAGTTACTAAAATCAGAACAACAACAGAAGCTTAAGACAGCTTTTAGAGGAATTTATATTTGTGTTTCAATCATATCACAAGAACCAACATGTACTTTTACATGTTACATAAGATAAGAAGATAAGAAGTACTTTATTGATCCCAATTTTCAATGTTTTGCCTTGCAGCAGCATAAAAAGACATGGCATTGTACATTACAAATTTAAATAAATAAACATTCCAAAATGTAAACATTTCAATAGAAATGAAATTAGGGCTGCACGATATATCGTGTCGTGACGATAATCGCGATATAATAATAATAAATAATAATGCATCACATTTTTTATTAGAGCGCTTTTGCAGGTGCTCAAAGCGCTCTACAATTACACATTACACATATTAGACATGTAAGAGTCATTACGTGGACATTACCCACAGGAGCAAATTTGGGTGAAGTGTCTTGCCCAAGGACACAACGGCCTGACGCAGTGGCGGCCGAGGCGGGTTTCGAACTGGAGTTCACCAACGCCCCTTGATCTGATGATCAACGCTCTAACCCACTGCGCCAAAATCTAAAAGCAAGATGTGCGATTTTAAATTTTTAGGGCGTGCGATATTAAGTAGGCAAATGAACTCAAACACATCATTTTACAATTCTTTTGCTGCTTGCTACAAAAGGAAAACTCGCGCGGCTCTCATGTCAGGGGTACGTGAGTGACAGCAAACCACCAATCACAATCAAATCTCCAAAGCAAACGGACGGTGATTAAAGGTAGAAACACTGAATAAAGTAGTTTCATGTGTTTCAGTTCGGCGCTGCTAACCGAGCTAGCTCAGCTTGTTGCTCTGATAACTTAAGATCCAGACGTCCGTGACTAAAATCCTTCATCCGGTTAAATATAGTTAAAAAAATACCAATTGTATAGCATTAAAGTTCAAGAAAGGATGGTTTGCGGACACATTTTTTTTATTTTCTTCAATTCCTGTATGTTTTCATATCGCGATATATATCGCAGGGGGAAAAAATCGCAATGTCAGTTTTTTCCAATATCGTGCAGCCCTAAATGAAATAGCATTAAACAAAAGTAGAAAATATACATGTCGAATTACAAATTTACAGTAACAAAATATAAAGCTGTGATGAAACCAGAAGACAAATAATATAAATAATTCATTCAATTATCAGAAATGTAAACGTACGAGAATTTGACTTGATGTCGTGGTGCATACATAGAAATAATTTAAAATGTAGTAAAATATAGCAGTATTTGGAAGTAGAATGGAATAAAAAGGAATAAAATATGGAATAAAATTCGGCAGAAAACAAAACAAAAAACAAAACATGTAAAATGACATACTTAAAATTAAGAAATCAACTGAAATACAAATTATAGACAAAAAGAGTTGAACGTTGTGCTGCTGTGTACCTGTAGTAGGACTGGGACAGCTGGTAGGACATGGGCAGGATGGGCAGCGCTCGGTTCTTCTTCGGTCCGAACGCCTGATTGATGCGGCGCCGGTTCACCAGCCCTCTCTTCCTGCACTGAATGAACGCCTGGCACAGCATCTCCTGGTTATACTTACTGTACATGTGGAAGGTCTGAGGGAGAAGACAGATAAACAGAGGGTAGCGTGAGTTGTGTATCTGCAATTGTAGAACTGTGAAAGCAATAGACTGGGACGAGGGACACCTTTGAAAAGCATCTTAAGACCCTCCTGTTTAGACTTGTCTTTGTCGTGTCAAATTATCATATAATCATTTAAAAAATATAGTCTTATACTCTGATTGCCTTTTACACTGTTAAATTGTATTTTTAGTCTTGTATGTGTTTAAAGGCCCGGACACACCAGCCCGATTTTGGGAGTCAGAGGCCGTTAGAGGCAGTCGGGCATTCGCGGCGCCCTACTCAGGTTGGTGTGTCCCGCACCGTCGTCTCTTTACGGCCACTTTTCACACCTCCCGCGGCCGATTCAACATGTTGAATCGGCCGCGGGAGGTCAGAGAAAGTCGGCCCAAGCAATCACTCTGATTGGCTGTTCACACTACCGCTGCCTGCTGGTAAGGACAGTTATTGCCACTCGTCGACTGAAGTATTTGCGGTGTGTTCGTAGGCGAGCGGCGTAGCCGACGCAGGCGACGTAGCTGACGTAAAAGTCGGGAAAAGTCAGGACGCCTTCGGTACGCGTTCTTTGGTCTCAGGTGGGTGTGTAGCGGCCTTAACAGAGACATTTCAGGAGGGCAAAAGGAAGTGTAAAAGGGGGATTTGCAAATGGTTAAGGACGAGGGGGTTTTATGGTTTAATGGTGGGGATGTGTAGATGATGCCTAAGGGAATTTAAGGGTGGGACCAGTTGGCTTTAGGCGCCGTTTACACGAGGAGAAAACTGCTTGTATCTGCATAGTTTCGCGTGCGTATAGCCCTATTATTTACACGAGGCCGATAGAAACTGACCCCACAAACAATAACGGGTCCCAAGGTGGATAGATTTGCAAACTAAACGCTCTGGGGGGTCAACCAAGTCCGTGTAATCACCTCTATACGAATATTTCCTGAAAAAATAGCGATAGCCCCGCCTCTCCCCACCTCTCCTGCTCACTGCTGTAGCAACTATCAAAAATAGCTGTGTTAATTAAACGCACAAGGGGTTCTTGAATGAAATAATATTATAAAAGGCAAACCAGAATTGTTAACGCCCAATATACTCCTTAAACAAAATAAACAGAGTCAGATTTCATGCATTGATCCATTATATTGACAAAGGTGGATCTCACCCGGTGTTTGTAGAGAATATCTCTCTTTCTGAGCCGTCCTCTCCACAGAGACGTGCTTCTTGGTTTCTTTCAGTTAACTTCCCCGTTGCATTTATCCATATGCTGAGGAAATGACTATATCCCGCTGAATACCAGCAATCGCCACACACTTCCTCTTGTCAGTAGCTACTGCTAGTGCTACTGCTACTGACCATGCTACAGATATTAGTGCAAAATCTACAGCTCCTCTACCACAACCATCAGCAACAAGTGGACATGGAGAATTACATGAACTACATGTTGCTAAATACACCCCGGGGCTTAAACAGAAGGGTAGCCATGGCAACATTGTGGCGGGGCTGCTCGGGCTGCTCTTCTTCGCGGCTTTTGGTGTATTTTGGCGGAAGTTACAGCGCCACTTACAGTCCCGGCATATGTACTACAGCGTTTCCAGCGGCCTCGTTTGAACAGGAAGACTTTTTTGAATACGCATACTGTGCATAAACGCAAACGGTCCCGTGTGAGCGGGGCCTTAATCTCTACTGTATAGTGTGACAGTAAGCTGGGGTGCAGAACTTCTCTATCCTCTGAGGATGAAGTAGCTCTGTTCCTACATTTGGGATCGATTTCACTTTGACTTTCTTTATTACTTTATTGAATATAACAAAACACAAACTTTGTCCATGAATCATTTATCAGTTTCTCTTAAGAATTTCCTCCACAGTCTTCAGGGTTTGTGACGTTATCAAAGAGTAAACGGAACTAAATCAAGATGGTCTAGCCACTCTTTATCTCCACATCTAAACTGTTGCTATTACACACAATAACAGCATACCCCAAGTGCAAGCCAAACAAACTGAATACACAGAATCACTTTAAGCACTCATACCCCATTCACACCAACGGTGTTTCGGGGCCGGTTCGGTGCTGGTGCTTGAAAAGCACCGGGTTTTCCTGTTCACACCGCAGCGGAGCAAGCCTCTAAGCTCCGGAATCCGGTTCGTTTCGAGCACCAAAAAGTTGTCCGTGTAGAAGCAAGAACCGCTTACGTCGGAGGGGGGCGAGATTAACCTGAGATAACAGTTAAGGCGAGTACGGCAAATAAAAGTTGTAACCAGCAGTAGTGCTGAGCAAAGTGACTAGAACGCAACCACACACTTGTTAAAAAAAACACACTTTATAAAGTCAGGCAACACTAACCAGGCTTCGTGTGATTCTGTTTATTTGTACCTTACTTTGACCATCCGTTCGCTGTTATTGATCATTGTGGAGAGCAGGCAGACGTTTTGTTTGTTATTATAGCAGCTATCGGATGGAATCAATACATGGGCTGCACAGGTTGTCATGTCCGACTATCACAAGTAGAATCATAATGAAAAATACGCCGGTAAAAAGTGCCTGTATAAAACGGCTTAGCAAGTAGTCAGTTTAGCTTCGGTTGCTATGCTAACATCACCCATGTTATACCAGAGAAACTTTCATAACAGCGTTGTGATGCCAAACAGCGTCAATTCAGACTGACACCAAACACCGTCAATTCAGACTGACACACATTCACTTAAGGGGAACTGGGGATATGTATCAGCTGCTTGTGTGACAGTCAGCCAGTGAATACTTTAGAGCCGTGTGAGCTAACCCGGAGCTAACGGGAGAATACACTCCCGTTGAAGAGCAGTCAGCACTGCAGCGGTCGGTAAATGCCGCTGAAACACATTAATAAACAATGAACCACGGCACTCTGGAGAAAAGTATAAGGTTGGAGAAGTCGTTATTTAATTTAATCTGGCTTCGTATGATTAAAAGCAACACGATCATCGACCCGACACAGTCCCCGGCCCGTTGTTGTTGTGAGGTGAGCTCCGTTGGGGAGAAACTCAGCGACGTAAACTGTGACGTCATGACGCAGCAGCGGCAGCACCAGTCGGGCTCTGAGCGGTGTGAAAAGAGCCGGCGCTAAACCGAAGAACCGGTTCTGAACCAGAAAAGCTCTAGCACGGAGCTAGAAGGGAAAAGCCTTGGTGTGAAAGGGGTATCAGTGCTCACTTTAAGCACTCAGCACTCAATTCAAAATGCAAAGAGACAGTACAAAGACAAGGTGGAATCTGACTTCAAAGGCTGTAACACTAGGAATATGTGGGCGGGACTAAGGACAATGACTGACTACAAAGGAGCAGCGGGGGGTGCTGCGGGAGTGTCTGCGTGCGCATCTCTCCCAGATGAGCTGAACAGTTTTTTTGCACGCTTTGAGAGCAGCCGGGCTGTGGAGGTACAGAGGGACCAGGAGCTACACTGCCCTTTTGTTTTAAATAGGGCAGATGTGTGTAAATCCTTTAAAAGGGTTAACCCACACAAGGCTCCTGGACCTGATGGCATCCCTGGCCGTGTTCTCAGGGTGTGTGCAGTTCAGCTGGCAGAGGTGTTCACAGACATCTTCAACAGGTCCCTGCTGCAGTCTGTAGTCCCGACATGCTTCAAACATTCCACTATCGTTCCTGTCCCGAAAAAGACAATCATCACCTGCCCCAACGACTACCGCCCAGTAGCACTCACCTCCACCATAATGAAGTGCTTTGAGCGGTTAGTCAAATCATTCATCACCTCCTCCCTCCCTGAATCTCTGGACCCCCTGCAGTTTGCCTACAGAGCAAACAGGTCCACAGACGACGCCATAGCCCTCACCCTCCACATTGCCCTCTCACACCTGGACCCGAAGAACAGGAACACATATGTGAGAATGCTGTTCATTGACTACAGTTCAGCATTCAATACCATTGTGCCCTCCAAGCTGGCCATCAAGCTCAGAGACCTCGGGCTCAACAGCGCCCTCTGTGACTGGATCCTGAACTTCCTGACGGGCAGACCCCAGGCAGTGCGGGTGGGAAACATCACATCCTCCACCCTGATTCTAAACACCGGTGCCCCTCAAGGCTGCGTGCTCAGCCCTCTCCTCTACTCCCTGTTCACCCACGACTGCGTGGCCACACACAGCTCCAACACCATCGTGAAGTTTGCTGATGACACGACCGTCATCGGCCAGATCACAGACGATGACGAGACGGCGTACAGAGAGGAGGTCGAAAACCTGACATCTTGGTGCCAGGATAACAACCTCCATCTCAACATCAGCAAAACAAAGGAGCTGATTGTGGATTACAGGAAGCAGCAGGGAGAGGGACACGCCCCCATCGCCATCAATGGGACTACGGTGGAGAGAGTCAAAAGCTTCAGGTTCCTTGGGGTCCACATCACTGAGGACCTGACATGGTCTCTTCACACCACCACCATCACCAAGAAAGCTCGACAGCGGCTCTTCTTCCTCCGCAGGTTGAGGAGGTTCAAAATGGATTCCAGGATACTCTGCAACTTCTACAGGTGCACGATAGAGAGTATCCTCACTGGCAGCATGACGGCCTGGTACGGCAGCTGCACCGACCTCGATCGTAAGGCTTTACAGAGGGTGGTGAAAACTGCACAGCACATCACCAGGACGGAGCTGCCATCCATGGAGGACCTTTACTCACAGCGGCTCAGGAAGAAATCACTACGGATTATCAAAGACCCCCATCACCCCAGCCACAAACTGTTCTTTCTGTTGCCGTCTGGCAGACGTTACCGCAGCATCCTGGCAAGGACAAGAAGATTCGGAGACAGTTTCTTCCCGCGGGCAGTGAGACTGTTAAAAAATTGAACTGTTGAAACAACTTCAAACATTCATCTGCTACTCAGTAGTATGTATCTAATACCTAATATATATATATCATTCCAATAACTTGTATATAGACTCGTACTGCACTATTCCACATCATCACTTTATTTTATTTTATAACTATTATTCTTTTTGTATTGCTCTTGCTCTTATTGTTATTATGTTATTATGTTGCACTGTTGGAGAAGCCTGTGACATAAGATTTTCAACTACATAATTACTCTGTAGCTATGTCAGATTGACAATAAAGAACCTTGAACCTTGAACCTTGAACCTTGAACCAGTGAGTTTTGTCTTTGGTGTGAGACTCCAGGAGAAAATAGGGGGGGATTGTTTCATTTCAAATATTTTAGATTTTGTATTGAAACAACTGATTGTGTAAAACATCTTGCATGTAATGGGAACTATATTTGAATCAAGCATATTTGTACATTTTGAAAATATAATGCTTAAAATCAAACAATTTTAAACTTTTAAGACTTTCCGTGGCTCTGTGTATTTTATTAGTTCTTTATTTTTTATATAAATGTTACATGTAATGGTATAACCACTCATTAAACCTGTATTTTTATGTCTGGAACAAGTTTTTTGTTGTTGTAATTGTGATTCAGTTTGTGTGCCGGTGTAAATGAAGGAGGTAAATTAAAGATGGCCGTACCTGGAAGGATCTGGACGCCTTCATCTGATTGTTGGTCATGGCCAGAGTGCTTTGGATCAAGTTTTGTAACACTATGGCATGAATATCATTCTTGCTGCAACGACACACAGACACACACACAATCAATTAACTCACATCATGACAATTTAAATGTATTCAGAAAAAGGAAATATAATTGACTCCTCACGAGTTGATGTTGTCTTTCCATGACACACGTTTTCCACTCTCTATCGCTGAGACCTTGAACCTGTAACACACACACACATTACTTGTTAGACGCTTTTATCCAAAGCGACTTACATACTCAATACTGTGGGCAATCCCCACAGGAGCAATTTGGGGTGAAGTGTCTTGCCCAGGGACACAACGACATGCTGACTGCAGTGGGGTTTGAACCTGTGACCCCCTGATCCGAACACCAAGGCTCTATCCACTGCGCCACCTCCTAATCTTACCGTGAGAAGAGCTGGCGTTTTGTGTCGGGCATGATCATCTCCCGAGCGCTCAGAACCACAGAGCTGAACTTCTGTCGGAGCAGCCGGGCGTACTCCAAGAACGATTTTGCACAATCCTGAAACGACACAGACAGAAATATTACATAAAGTCTATTTAATATGATCATTTATTAAATCAAATCATATCTCCAAATATTGCGTTAATACAATTATAAAAACTGATAATAAAAAGATACTAACTCAAATTACAAAGAAACTCTAATGTGAAATATGTTGAGGGAAAACACTTTCACCAGCTGTTACTCTCATGAGCGAGGCGGAAAATAATTGTGTTATCATGCCAAAAAGCTGCTGTGTCGTTTATTGCACCTCAAACATTAAAACAAATCCAGAGTTCAGTGTTTCTGTACTTCCTCTAAGAAAAAAGGACAGTAACAGAAGAGCTCTGTGGCTTCAGGCTTGATCGCCATTCAAATGACAGCGTTGTTTCCCCCAAAAGTGGGCGGGGCCGTAAAGTGACGTAGATGTTACTCTCATCTATGGATATCGATCGCCTACTGCTATATTTAACCACATATCGAGCCCGATCGTCAATTTCCAATGGCTTAATGTAGAAGTTTGCCTTTCTGGCCATCGTAATCGGGCTCTTTGAATCGGATTGGCAAAAACTTCAGAATTTGAATTGACAGCTTTGTTTTTCCCCAAAAGTGGGCGGAGCCGTCACTTTTGCCCGGAAGTGACGCATATGTTACTCTCATCTATATCGGATTAAAAATATAAGCGCCAGACCTCGACAATGCTGGGATCGGCGGGTTTGTTTTCCTCCAGAAGGCTCATCAGAGGTTTGTCCTGATACACCTCAGCCAGACAGATCCTGTAACACAGCGTTCATTCAGAAATCTGCAGGATTGGGTTAAATAAATATGTGTGTTTTATCAAGCTCGTGTTCCTACCTGTAGTTCAGGAGCGTCTGAGGATTTTTGAGGATGTATCGTGTTCGACGTCCGACAGCGACGGATGTTTTATCCATCGAGATCTCGAACTCTGCGTGGAGCAGGTCTCTGACCACAACGTACGGTACGAACGGCCTCTTCAACTGAAACACAAAGACAACATGTGTGTTAGGTTGGGACCGAAACACGTGTTCAAAATGTAGGTAACATTAGTTTGTATTGTTTACGGTCTTCAACATGTATAATTACTGCTCATGTCACAGTGTTTTAAAATATGTTTTATTATTATTTAAACAAATGAACCTGAAATATATATTTTCAGACATAAATTTGATCAATTTTGTTGTGTGTGTGTGTGCATGCGTGTGTGTGTGTATGTCTGTGTGTGTGTGTGTGTGTGTGTGTGTGTGTGTGTGTGTATGTCTGTGTGTGTGTGTGTGTGTGTGTGTGTATGTCTCTCTGTGTGTGTGTGTATGTCTGTGTGTGTGTGTGTGTATGTATGTCTTTGTGTGTGTGTGTATGTATGTCTGTCTGTGTGTGTATATGTGTGTATATGTGTGTGTGTGTGTGTGTGTGTGTGTGTGTGTGTGTGTGTGTGTGTGTGTGAGTGTGTGTGTGTACCTTGCTGTTGAGCAGGTTGGAGGCCACTCTGCAGAGCATCATCAGAGAGTCCTCCTGCACGGACCAGTACACTCTCTGCCTCGTCATCATCTTCAGAGCTCGGTGGTCGGCCTCGTCGTGAGCCGGCAGGCGTTTCTTTGGCTCTTTAAGGCAAAAAAAAACACACAATCTGTCAGTCGTCTCGAGTCTTACGTCCATCAGTCACAGGTATGAATTTAAATCCTCATGCTGTACCTTTCTTCTTCTTGCGTGGGGGCTTGGCGACCTCCTTCTTGGTTCTCTTCCTCTTCTGTTTCTTTCCTCCGACCACCTGCTGGTTTCTGGACGCAGGCTCAATATCCACCTGGTGATAAACACAACAGCTTGTCAGGCTAATGCGGAGATAATACGACAATAGGCAGATAACATTGAACAACAGCTTGTCAGGTTAATACGAAGATGATATGATAATTAGCAAATAAAATGGATTAAACTCTTACCTCAATAGTTTCTGCTATCAGTGATCGTTTGGCAGTCGAATAACGAGGGTTAATAGTTCCTGCTGTTACACACAGATGTATAAAAATACATTATTCATGAATAGGAATACTGCAACAGTAGGACAGTGAACTTGAAGCAAAACTGAAGAATTATTTGATGAATTAACGCCTAAAAAGTTTGTCTAAACATATAATTCATGCCAAAACATCCAAACTGATTAAGACATTTCAAAAATAGCACAATAAACAGGATGTATTATTAATATATTTTCACAAGTTCAGTCCATTTGTCCATTTGTAACACAAGGATGTGAAAGCTTTGTAATTTTTGGACACAGGAAGTGGTTAAAGGGGCCCTATTATTATTATTATTATTATTATTATTATTATTATTATTATAATTATTTGTGTGCATGTAAATGGTCTGCAAAGGTTAAAATCCCCTCCAGAGGGAGTTTCTCCCCCCCCCCCCCCCCCTGCCTGAAACGCCTCCATAGAGTGGTGCAGTGACGCGTCCTAAAACCCAGAAGTAAGCTGCGCATGGGTTCCTTCCGGTTCCTTCGACAAAAACGCAATGCAATTTCTCCATAGGATTTGGGAAAGCTGGAAATAAGGTCTGTGGTTGAGACACATTTAAGAGACGGATCACGTTTTGTTCAGTCGGATAATCTCCACATGTCTACCCTACTTTTATCATTTTCAAATCCTAAATCTAATCGATTAGATTTATGATCCAAAATCCTATGGAGAAATTGCATTGCTTTTTTGTCGAGGGAACCGGAAGGAACCCATGCGCAGCTTACTTCCGGGTTTTAGGACGCGTCACTGCACCACTCTATAGGACTCCTTTGTTTACTTCAGGAACATAATGACATCACAATGTAACTCTGGGGCTTCTATTGGCTAAGCACTCAAACACATTGTACGTGATAGGCTAAGGGGCGGGACATCTCTAAGCGGCTGACCAATCACAACAGAGCCGGCCAGCTAACCAATCAGAGCAGACTGGGCTCTGGTTTCAGACAGAGGGTGAAAAGAGGTGCTGCAGAACAGGCAGTATGAGAAAAATAAAGAGCTTTTTGAACATTAAAGCATGGAGACGTGTGACAGTAGAGACACTACATACAAACATGAACCTGAAAATGAACCTTAAAAGGCCCCTTTAAATAAAATCATTTAAAAAACTTGTTCTCCTAGCAGCAGCTCACCAGCTTTGAGTGCGATCCTGAGAGAGTTTTTACTCAGCAGGCTCTTCAGTCTGATTTTATTCTCCTTCGCCTCTATGCCACTTGGGGTCTAAAAAACAGAACAAATGAGTGCAAAAAGATTAAGCCATATTAAATATTGTCTCCGTCTACACGGACAAACAAACTGTCACTTACCGTTCTCACAGCGAGAAGATGATTGGTCCACAACCAGTTGCGTTTAAGATGAGCGAAGAATTCAGAGTGCAAACCTCCGGCTCCTTTACCGTCTCCGGGTATCGACCCGTCGTCACACACTTCAAGATTTCCCCTGTGTGTATGAATACATATAAATCAGTTATACTTAAACACACTGCTAATTAACTATACGCACTTTGCCGTAACCTGCTTTTTGGTTAAAATGTTTGAGTTGATTATCTTATAGAAACAGGCAGAGGAAGTCAAATGCTCTTATGTTGTTTACAGTACATTGCATTTAGCTGACGCTTGTATCCAAAGCGACTTACAATAAGTGCATTCGACCAAGAAGATACAAACTTGAAGAAAACAGAATCATATAAGTACATCAGGTTTCATAGAGCCACAAAATTTCAAGTGCTACTCAACTGGCTTTAGATAAGTCAGTCCTTTGTTAGTATATAAGTGCTTTATTAGTATACAAGTGCTTTGATAGTAATTTTATTGCTCGAAGTGGAGTCGAAAGAGATGAGTTGTCAGTCTGCGCCGGAAGATGTGTAAGCTTTCTGCTGTCCTGATGTCAATGGGGAGCTCATTCCACCATTTTGGAGCCAGGATAGCAAACCAACGTGTTTTTGCTGATGGGAACTTGGGTCCCCCTCGCAGTGAGGGTGCAGCGAGCCGTTTGGCTGATGCAGAGCAGAGTGCACGTGCTGGGGTGTATGGTTTAACCATGTCCTGGATGTAGGAAGGGCCAGATCCATTCACAGCATGGTGCGCAAGTACCAGTGTCTTGAAGTGGATTCTAGCAGTTACTGGAAGCCAGTGAAGGGAGCGGAGGAGCGGGGTGGTGTTTACAGCTAATCTTTATTAAACAGGGTTTGTACAGCTTTTAAAGAGTAACATTTAAACACCTTCACACTCTTAACTTCTATTTTTTTGCCTTTAATGCAGTACACTATAGTTTTTATTCTACAGTTGGTTTGTCTTAAGCTTATTTGTGTATTTTCTGTCATGCCTTTTTTACATGTCTTTTACATATTAACCTAAAGTCCTTCTGTGTTATCTCATGCACTCTAAACTGTTATACAAATAAACATACTACGCCATACAGAAATATCCTTCTCTACTTACTTGAGCAGGTATGCCAGTCCCACAAAGACGTTGCGTTCGTGCACAAAGGAAGGATCAGTTTCTTCCTCAGAGGGATTTCTCTTAATGCGGATCACCCCTAAAAACATGCAAACAAAAAGGGAGAAGTTAACAACTTTAAAAAAGGGAAAAATATGATGTAGAAGTAGGGCAGGGCGATTATTC